CTTATCAGTGTATCGCCGCCTTTCGCAATTCACAATTGATCTTGACCACCTTACGCTCGTCCGGTGATCATGATCAATTGCAATAAAGAGGGTCTTATTCCGGGCGCTTTTTCGTGCTTCCTTCTTCTTCAATAAGTCAACAAACACACGGCAATTCTATTTTTGAACTGTATTACCTATGAATTGTGGTCGCGGGAATTGCCTTTAAGAGCGGGCTCAGCTTTGAAGGCTAAGCAAAGCAGGACATGGCTGCTAGGTGGGCGGGGCGGTCTCCCATTCACAAGCGGGTGGCCCCATCCTCTCGTACTTTTGAGCTGCGAAATTAGTACATCCTCCACCCTTGTCGACAGAGCTACGATATCTAAGGAGGGCGTAGGAACATCAAATGAACGCGGGCGCTGCCTTTAAATAGGAAAGTGCTGCAGCATCTCGAGTCAACTAGCCAGCGAATATCAAGTCACTTATGTGCGCCTCCTCAACGTGGATCTCCTGCACCGCTTATAATGATCCTCGGAAACAATAAAAACGCAACCCCTAGGCACTGATGTAATGTACACAAGATTACAGGTCCCTTTCCCGACTACGGGTTCCGGAAACTTTAGATAAAGTTAACAAGATCTTTCTCTGAATCGGATGGGGGCAAAATCGGCCTAGGAGGAGGCGGATACAGTGCATAGATGGCTATGGAGTTCACCACCAGAGCTACTCCTATCGTAAGCGACCAGCTCAGGTTACGTTCTCCCAGATAGATGGAAGTCAGCGCCGTCAGACCTAAATGGGAATATTTAGCGACAGCAATGATCTTGAGTTCGGAGAGCTTCGAGAATAACTACCTATGGCCAAAGTCTGACAGTAAGTCTTCTTCACATTATCCGCGTACTTCATCACAGCCGAGACGATAATACCACTTGTAGCAGCCGCAACGGTCATGGTCCAAACCAATGACGTCCATCCTTGAAAAATCCCTTCTGTAATAAAATCATTTATACAGGAAGTCAAGGGTATAGGAAATGAATGAGCACTCACTTTCCACGATTTTCTGACCGTCTGTTGACCACATTGTGAAAGTGGCGAAGGCAAGTGTCATTAGACTGAGACGAATATTTTGAATCCACATGTTGCTGTTCACGTTCTTGAGCATCTTTTCAAAGTAAACACCTTTCAATAATAAATATAAGGTGGCTATCCATATACACAGTTTTTTATTAAGTAGAAGCCTGCACATCACTATATGCAACTTCGACTTCTTCAGGAAGCTTTAGGTCCACTTAATCTTGCGATGTGGCGCACGCATGCCCTGGTAGTCAAAAATTCAGAATACAGGTAGTGAGTGATTCGAGAATCAAAAAAGGAGACGAAACAGACGAAAACACTATAATAAGTTCTCTAATTTTGCAAACGATCGTGAGCAGTGGATGCGAAGGCAAAGAAGCGGGTGGTGATGAGACGTTGAGTGCTCGGAGGAGAGAGTAGACAGAAAATTTGATACACCACGAAGGCACGAAAATTGATCAAGAACAACGGTGCACATTCACGGATGCGGATCTGTTTGTTCATCGTGGGCAAGAAAGGAACCCTACTATCTGTTAGATTATGGCGGGATGCGTTTTCAAGCTAGCTGCTTTATATTAGGTTGTCCGGAAAGTTCTCAGCGTTTTGTATTACTATTCTTTGTACATTCATTGCTTTAAAAAAGCTAAAAATAAGACTCATTCTCCACTACGTCTCAGTAGTACATCCTGAAGAGAATTTTTTGCGCTATCTGATGGTATAATTGCCGTTTCACCATTGCTTGATAAACCCCCTTTTCCCAAGACTTTTTGAAGCATGTCAAAAGAGCAACTTCGGACGATATTTTTCTTCAACTACAAATTGGGTCAATCCGCAGTCGAGACAGCTCGACAAATTAACCAACCAGGTGTGGGGCCCAATAGTGTTGGAGAAAGCACCGTGCGACAATGGTTCGACAAATTTCGTTCTGGAGATTTCAGCCTTGAAGATGAACCTCGTAGCGGTCGACCTAAAGCAATACCTGACGAGGATTTGAAGGCGTTTGTGGAGGCTGACCCATCCCAAACAGTTCGAGAGATTGCAGAAAAGCTAGGCGTTGGCAAATCCACTGTTGCGGATGGTCTGAAACGCATTGGGAAGGTGAAAAAACTCGATAAGTGGGTGCCCCACAATTTGAGTGACCGGCAGAAATTGGCACGTCTCGAGGTTTCTTCTTCACTGCTTTTGCGCAACAGAAACGACCCGTTTTTGACCGAATTGTCACCTGTGATGAAAAATGGATCATGTATGATAACAGGAGACGTTCCGGACAGTGGTTGGATGCCGACGAACCACCGAGGCAATTTCCAAAGCCGAATCCTCACGAAAAAAGATTATGGTCACAGTGTGGTGGTCATCGGCTGGTGTGATCCACTATAACTTTTTGTCACCAGGCCAAACCATCACAGCAGAGTCCTACTGTGAAGAAATCGACGAAATGTACCGAAAATTGCGTCAGCTGCAGCCAGCACTTGTCAACAGAAAGGGTCCGATTTCTTTTGCATGCCCGCCCACACGTTTCACAAATCACTATCCATAAATTGAACGAATTGGGGGTTGAAGTTCTACCTCACCCGCCATATTCTCCAGACCTTTCACCAACCGACTATCACCTTTTCAAACATTTTCAGAACTTCCTTGCTGGAAAATACTTCATCAATCAGGACCAGGCAAAAAAGCCTTCGTGGATTTCGTGGATTCTCGACCACCCAGTTTTTCTTTGATGGGATTTATCGACCGTGTCACATTGGCAAAAGTGTGCTGATTCGAACGGTGCTTATTTCGATTAAATCCGATGAGTATTAAGAAAGTTATGATCGTTTAAAGTGAAACACTCAAAACGCTGAGAACTTTCCGGACAACCTAATAGTTTCTATATATAATTAAGCAATTAGGCGATCTTTCACAACGATATAGTCAAGAGCTCCTTTCCTTAGCGTGGAACCTAGCAAGGCGACGATGTCTGATAATTCATTTTTAGACTCCTACACTTACCCGCAAAAGCACTTGTCCAACACATTCCGACAGTGGCGACAACGCCCACGAGCTTGCTTGCTGACGGAATACTGTTTTGACTGTTTGTGCGGAAACGTCCATCTATAAATATTTTCATAATTTGAGGATTTTTGATAGCTTTCACCCAATCGATTTTCGTTCATAATTTTAGTGATTATTAATTTCATTTCTCGCCATGGCAGGTGTTGCTTTCGGGACACTCTGGGGCCGTCTGCTGCTATACTCTCACTAGCATAAAAAAAGAAAGGGCAGCAAAAAAATTTGCACGTACATCAACATCACCAACATTTATTTCGCATAGCTTTTACAACATTCGCACTCTATTAACACATCGGTGAAAATGGGAAAAAAAATATATGCTAACCGTAGTCACGACCCGAGGGGCCAGAACCAACAGTTAAGCCTGCCCTTTGCATCCACTAACCCAGAATCGGAGCCGG